ATTAAATAAATTAACGGTCTATCAGATACAGGAAAAAAAAAAACCAAAATAAAATCCCAAAAAACAAAACTAGCAATCAAATGTAATAATTGTTCCCATTAACATCCCGTAACAGACCGAACAGATCAACGCGATCGGGCGCGGTGCGGTCGGCGCGGGAGATTTCTCAAAAAGTTCTTGTCAGGGATCTCGAATCGTTCGTTGCGTTCCGTCGCTCTGCTGCAAGAGATTCGCGTCTCCCGTCCTCTTCGCCTCCCTTGTTACGCTCCGGCGTTTCTCGCTCGCGCCGTCTCGGCTCGTGGCCGGGGGTCACACCCGCAGAACCCGCCACGGGTTCTTAAAACGTTACGTCCACGTACGTGGAGCCAATATAAAAGACAACAATTTCGACAAGGACCCATCGGAGAGCGGGTTGTGCTTAATTTCTTCCCTCCCTTGGAGTCGCCCAGTCATAATAAGTGGAAGTGTATTTTTCAACTGAAATAATCGACCATTTGGAAAAACAAACAAACAAACAACCACCAAACCTCCTGCAATTAACACCCTTCGCATCGCCCCAGCGATTTGTTTTGTTCTGACGCAATTTTAAAAAGTAATGGCTAGCCCGAAGTAAAAAAAACAGAAGCACGATCCTTGCACGGCAGCCGTCACGACAAAATACTGAGATACGCCGGTTTGTCGCTCGGCTCGCACGCTCAGGTCCCGATTTACGGAATCCCAGCAGCGCAGACAGCGACGGAAAAAGGAGGAAACAATCTTTTGTTCATCAGGAAATTCGAATTGACGTCTGTTTTCCGCCGATTGGTCAGACAACTCCTAACCCATTGGTTTGTTTGTTTCAAGGCAAACATTGATCACGGTTTTGTTCGAAACCAAAAACCCGACAACAACAACAAAAAAAAATCCCAACGGCCTTGTTCTTCTCAAAATGAGCACTTGGTAAGAAAACAACGATGATTTCTAAAATATATCCTGTGCGGTCTTTTAAAAGTGAATTATCAAAAAACATTTTCCCAAAAATAAATTAGATAATTAAAAAAAAAGTCTTCTCCAGCATAGCTGGACATTAGGCTGTCCTCACCGAGCCATTAGTATTGCTGCTTCTCCCAAAATTTGGGTCGTTCTTTTCAAACCATATTTCAGCCAGCTGCTGCGTGGACCCATAAGTCGAAGCTTTGGACCCCAAGCACATTTTATACTGTTTTGGATCAAGGTTAGGGTCGCAAAAAACAGGGTGATGCACGTGGACTACTCCGATTTCTTGGCTTCGGAAAGTTTTTAAGCCAGCTTGAATGACTTTGTTAAAGAGGTCGACGTCTTCGAGGCCCCAACCTTGGATGGAGACATCAAAACCACCTGCTCGAAGAAGATCACCTTTGTAAATACAGGTAATCCCAAAGCCGTAGTTCCTCCAGAAACCCGTTTTCTGGGTGAAGGCAAAATGATTGTCACTAGGAACTTTTCCACTATAAACAATCTTTGGATCGTACTGGCTAAAAATGATGGGGAAGTATACTTGTTGACCCAAAACCGTATTGGCTCGACACCGCTGGAGGAATTCTGTGGTAAACACCAAGTCAACGTCACAGAAGAAAAGTAAAGACTCGTTCTGGAACTGAGAAGATCCAACTTCCAGAGCCAGCGCCCTCGAGAACTCCCCCGACACCGGTAAAACCTGCATGTCGGCCTTAGGGTATTTGGAGCGGTAATCTCTCATCAGGTCGATCTGCTTCGCTTTGTCGGGGTTGGAGTTGGAATTGAAAAGCAGGACGACCAGCTTGACGTTCTGGTTTGGAATGAGGCACGTCTTTTCGAAATTCCCCATGAACCTGGCAAACATGTCAAAACGTCCCAAGAGAGGAATGAGGATGTTGATCTTCTTGTCTTTGAGTTCCTTCCTCTCTACTTTCGATCTGCTGAGCTGGAAGGGAACAAACATCTTCAGCGAGTTGGAGAGGAAAGACAGAGATCCGGAATCCTGGTTGATTTTGCTGGCCAGCTCCTTGGCGTCCATCTCTTCGTGCTCCAGGAACTGGATCTTGCTGAACGTCTGCTGCAGGTACGCGTGCCTCCTGACCGGCACCGTCATCTTCTTCCCCTTATGCTTTTTGTACAGAAGCAGCAGGTCAAGAACGTACTCGGCTCCGTACATGGGGTTGACTCTGCGATAGCCGTACTGGATTTCCTTGAAATCGATGATCCTTCCCCGGGTCTTCGCGTTGGCGTTGATCATTTCCATGACCTGCATCACAATGTCATCCAGCGCTTCGCGCTGCGACGAGTCCATTCCTCTCCGAGGGGGCTGCCCGTCGGCGCCCGAATACAAATACTTGCCCGTAAGAAACTCCCACTCCAGGATTTCTTCCCGGTGCCGGGGCTGGAATCGCATGAAGGAAGGCGGCATCCCCAGCTGCAGGTCGTCTTTGTGGATTTCTGTGTTGCTGTATTTGCTCATGAGGACAATTTCCCGGTGCAGCTGCACGGTCCTGTGGCGCAGCTCCGCGATCTTGCGGCTCAACATGTAGCTGTGAAGCCTGTACTGGTACGGGGGGTTCTTATTGGGGTGCAGCGTTATAGCTCGGTGGATTTTGCTGTTCCTCAGGTCTCGGATGTAGCCTTTTTTGTTCTGCTCGTAGTTTTCGTAAAACAGCTGCTGCATCTAGAAGAGAGAAAGCAGAAGTCAGAGTCTCCTTGTGAAAGTCAGCCCCCACGACCCCTGCTGGGAGAGAATTCCTCCTCGCTCGCGGGGCCGGGCGGCTTTCTGAATAAGCTGTTCTTGGTTTGAGGCACAGGTTGTAGCAATACCAGCTGCTATTCATGGAAATTAAGAGGATTATTCATTGTAAACTGGTGAAAGAAACATCTACTGTGGATTGGGGATTACTGCAGCCCATTCTAGAGATATCACCGTCGGCCAAACAACTGAGCAGTAAGTAGATTGTAAGCTCATTTTTTCACAACAACACAGCATCACCAGGAAAAAAACCACCATGAAGAGTTCACTACAAAACTCTTACTATTCGTCTGCTTTCCACGGGCCTTAATAACGATAAAGAACAATAAGAAAGGATGCCCTGTACATAATAAGCAAGTACGACTACACTTTTTCCGTTACACCCAAATGCTGCCGAGGCATTAAAAATCCAGCTTGCTGAACGTTTTAGTCAAGAGGCCAAACACGTTTTCTCAAGTGCTGCGACGCAACGTTACAGTTCCCCCGTCCCTTTAAAATGCCAATAGAAAATAAAAGGCACCTGAGATTCCCAGCGGCAGTTCCAGAAGGCAGGTAATGCGGGATGCGTATGGATCCTACTACAAAAGCATCCTTAAAGTGAAGGTTGCTGCTTGAAAACAAGAAGATAGCGAGCGAAGATGAGGTTTACAAGCCTTGTGGAGAGCCGCAGCTCGAGGCAGGCAGACAAACCAGCTTTGCAGTTTTCAGTGGCTCACACAGTAGCTGATATAGTGAAAGGTATGTGCAAACCAGGATAATAACGTGGGAAATAGGCTGGGGAAAAAAAACAACCAAAAGGGAAAAAAAAACCCCTCAAGGCTGAAGTTATATATCAGCCCAGACAAGGAAAAGATCTCGGGCTGATTCTATGTCATGACACAAATGTCATCAACCTGCCAGAGCTGCTGACACAGCAGCTTCATTCGACAGGGGATGCAACCTGTGTTATCGGCCGCAGAATTTGCTGAAGGTAATAAAGTCGATAAAGCACACGTGAAAAGGTTGTAAAGGTTAAAAAGACCTAAAATCCAAGCGGTGAATAGGAGAGAGAATGACTCAATCGAGAGGGCAATTGAAGAGAGCAGTAAAAAAATTCCCAGGCACTGAGAGGACCCCTTTAACAGACAGTGCGACAAATCTTCTACCAGCGGTTGATGCGCAGCAGAAGTCCTGTTCTACTGGGCCGGGGGTTGCATTTTTCCCATTACTGTGGACAGACGTTGAATCTAAGGGATAAACTCACACCTGGATTTAATTGCCGCGCTCTTAACAAACCAGCCGTGCGCACGCCGGAGCTCAGCGCATCGCCGCTGACAGCACAGGAGCAAGCTGCCTCTACTCGAAATGGTTTTGAACCCAAACAAAATCCATTTTCGAAGGAGGGAGGGAGGAATTTCAGCCGGGCTGAGAAAGAAAGGACTTTTTTTTTTCTGCTGCTCCCATGTTGCCTCTGAGCAACCCAGGCCAGGGATGTCTCGGATTAGTTCGATCCCCCAGAGCAACGCAGCCGACGGAGAACATCTCGGCCTCTTGGCAAACCCCAGCTGAGCCGCCTGTCAGGACGTACATCCCTTGAGAAGTCAGGCAAGATTTCAGAGCGCTACGGGCAGAGGTTAGTCGGTCTAATCCCATGCTCAGCTCAGAGTTATCCGAACCGAAAGAACCTCACGCTTTCCCAAGAAGCACGTTGTTCCACTCACCCAAAGACTGTTCATTGTCTCCCCTGCCAATAACGCTTTGGGGTTTTGTCCACTCTCAACCTTGCTCCTTCTCTTCGGGGCTCTAGGAGACCTCCAGTCACACTCACTTAGGGCCAAGCCCTGCAAGCACAACTCATTACAAGGCAAGAACAAGACCAGTTCAACACTGCAGGACCCACGTGTGTATTTTTACCGACTCCACCGATCTATCCTCTCTAACACTATATATTTATCTATATAAATATATAGATAAAAACCTACAAGTATTAAATGCACATGGCAACAGATTTCACTGGTATTTTAACTACGATACAGCCATAGGCACAGGCTTTCCCAGAAGCATTGTGACATAGATAAACCCTCTTAAATCACGTCCTTACGCAACTATTATTTGAAGGAAAACTGACCATAGGACTTAATTTCGAATCTTGTTTTGACTTTATAAGAAAACAAAATCAAGACCGTGCAGTCTGAATGCATTTATTCCAAAATTGCCATCTAGGGCATTCTGAAGAGGAAACCATGAGAAGCAGAAAGGCTTTTAGATTACACAACAAAGTTTTAATAGAATACCGATGGGTAGGAAAATGTTATGAAACTTCCCAACGGAAGTAAAGATATGAACCCCTAGCAAATGGCCCTCAATCAAATTAACAAGTGTATATTAAAGCTCTGGCTTGCGGGCAGGAGTAACCTCTTAGCTAGGCTGGTTAACTTCCGAGCTTAGAGTACGACTTCTTGCCACTTCCTAAAACCAGGTAAGTTCAAAAAACGAACGGAAAATAAAACACGTCTCGGCGAGACCTGCCTGGTACTTCAACGCAAAAGCAATTTGCAGCTGAAATATCCATTAATGGCCGCCTCGCTCCAGCCAAGAAGGTGACAACTGTAACAAACCCTGCACCCCGGCCAACCCTGCCGTGCGACTAATGAGAAGCACGGCAGCAGCCAGGCTTTTATATAATCCTGTTTTTCAGAAGAATGCCTCGCGAGGCTGGCATTTTCATTGTTTTCCCTACCAAGTCTCCCCATCTCCTGCTCCAGCGTTCCCTCTGTCTCCTTGCATCGAGCAAGCTGCAGCAGGCGCGGGACGTGCCAGCACCCCAATCCCCCGCTCGGGAACCAAGGTTCCACCCCGCCTGTGTAGGAAACCCACGGAAGGGGTTAATCAAATCCCTGCAGAGAGTATAATGACTTACAAACTACTTTTTTTCGCAGTGGGATGGAGCACTGCAAATGAAGTCCAAGTGGCCAGCAGCCAACTGAGCAATTTAACCCTTCCCAGGCAGAGGTGCCTGCAGACATCGACCTGAGCACTGCCATCCCCACGGGCCGTCCTTCACGACGAGGAGTCACGTGTGGATCGTGTTTTCTCACCCGCACCTCCAAAGGCATGTGCAGTTGCCTCCGTACACTTTGACAGTTCCACCAAAATCAATTTGCTTGAATCGTTAAGCTAATCCTCAGCACTGGGTTCAGGCAATAATGAGGGCGATGCCTGACTATCACCCGTCCCTGCTGATGCAGCGTCAACCTTATCCGGGTCCAAATCCCTGTGCTGAATATTACCTATGAGCTCACGTGGGCCTCTGACTCCATGTGCTACTGGAAAGCCATAAGGAAGACAAAAATTCATAATTACCTCTTGTGTGCATCATTAATAGGTGGGTGGGAGAAGATGGCAGAGAAAGCAATACCTGTCATTTATTTGTTCCTGCCATGTAGCAGCCGTTAAACACACACGCGGGGAGCGACGCCGACCCAGAACGTGCACGTCTCCAAGAGACGTTACGTGCAGATTGCCCCATGCCCGTTCCCAGACTCTTGTGAGTTGAACTCCTGCAAACTCTTCTCTTAGTGAAACAGGTTTCTCTGTGATTCTTTCCAAGAAAAGAACCTTTCATGGATATTAATTTTGCAATGATTATATTCTAAGCATGCTTTATTCTAGCGCAGAGCACTGAGAGCATAGGGATACAAAGAAGAGCTACTCTTTATTGACCACTATTTACTCTAGACCTGTTGAAGCCTTAAAAACCCTAATGTTCCCCAAACCATTAGAGACTGAATGTTGAAACTGTGGTACAGCTGTTGTGGGCACTACTGGCTCATGTCCAAAAGACCGACTGAAAGGAGAGAGTGTTACGTTCTTCGTTTTAAATGAAGAAGTCTTTTGCAGGCCAAAAAAAAGTGTACTGGAGAAAATGGACTTTAAAAATAAGACCAGTTTATGCAGAAACTGGCCCGCAGCCATGGATTAGCCCCCGAGGGCTTTCTCTCACAGCTCCAGATTGTACTGCCACAGCCCAGAAAACACAGCCCCGCAGGTCTCATGAAAAGCGACCACGGGCAGGACATGTTGTACGGCAGGCTCCGAAATGCCCAAGATGTGCTTTAAACACAAAGGCCGGCTAATTAAAACCTCGGGAGACGGCTCACGTCGCTTGGCGTGTGAGCACCTCAGCTGGGAGGAGGCGAGCACGCGAGTCCCGCTCCGTTCTCCTACGAGAGTAAGGTGGGTGCCGGGATAGCCCTCGCCCTGCCCCTCAGCTCTGCTGCCAGAACTGGGCAGGACACTGGCCCCATCTCCTCCTCGCTCCTCCTGCCGGGGACGCAGGAGTAGCGGTGCAAGGAGGGGATGTTCCCGCTGGTTGGCTGAAGTGAAACGGAACATGTTTCGCACCCACAGCCCAAGTAACTCTACGAAATAACCATGGCTGCACTAACGCAGCTTTGCCACCTCAGGGTGATTAACCAAAACTAGTTATCTGGTTTTTAAATCACCAACAGAGCTAAATTCATTAAATGTTTTGCATGTACACCCGATGGAAAAGAGCTGTGGGGTTTCATTTACCGTTGACTTGCCGATGGGGGAAGGTGGGTGCTCCCCGGGTACAACTCTGAGTATTCAGGTATTCTTAGTAACGATGATATTTCTGCTTTAAATCCCGATGCTTTCTGTGCGATCCCACAACCAACCACTGACATGACTGAAGTCGCTCCTGGGCGGACTTACAATGATGGAGACAAACACAGGGAAGTTATGGATAAACACTCATTTCCAGTGAACTTGGCCACTTGGTCACCCCCGTAACCTCCGCAGTTGCCACTACAGGAAAGGATGCAGGAAATGTCACTTGGCGCTGGGAGATCAGACTTCCCTCTCGGCTGATGAGTGAAGCCCCGAGCTCTGGAGTCCGACTAATTGATGTGATCCTTCAGCCGA